GACAATTCGAGTTAAAAGTGTATTGTTGTTTTGTTTACACATGACTAATAATACTGGATTACTTTGTTGAAAAAAGAGACTAGCTGATTGCAAAGGAAAAAATAGGCGAAACGCTTTTCTTTCTGATGTTGAACTCACTTTGATGAAAACAAACAAGTAAATAACTAACTAACTAACTAACTAATACTTCTCGGGATGGAAATCTTGAAGATTTACGGATATTTTGTATGAATGCTATTTGACAAGAATTCTTGTTTTGATTGTAGATCATTGAAAGAGATAATCTATGACAAAAATCTATATTAAACATTTACTTCTTTTATCATAATCTATTCGGTCATCACTATATAGAGTTATTGTAACATAGATAAAAGGAGAATAAGAAATTTAATTGATTGATTTTTAATGATTCAATTCTTCAAGTATACAGAAGAATTGACTATTTCATATATACATATATATAATATTCGAGGTTAGGTAATATCAGAAATAGAATGATACTTGTCAGATCGTTTTTTTTTCTATCTGAGAGCATATTGGAGCACTTTCAAAAATAGATCGCTTCTTGTTGTTAGCCAATACATATGTAGAAATTACTGATTGCAAAGAAAATTCAGAGATACAAGTGTCATTATTTGTTAAACATAAGAAAGATATCTGATGTTGATTAATCTATCGAGGGGGAGGGGCACTAACTATTCAATCGCTTTTGCGTTATGTAGCTCCCAAGGAGTTATGGATACGCTGAAAATATTTTGACCGGATAGCTTGTTGTTGTGAAAATAGTCCATCTTAAAGGTATGGTTCTTAGTGAGTACCTGAACTACCCCTCAGGAACCTCGAAAAAAATTGATTTTCGATTTTCGAATTTCGACTTGAAACTTTACATAGAAATGCACGTGAACAAGAATAGTGTTTTGTGAATGTTTTTGGTCATTGAATTTGTTTGTTTCATCAAATCTGCTACCTTATTTAAAAGATGTAAAATAAAATTTTCATAATAGCTGTGTGTAATTGATCTGAAACGGTCACGAAACACTATTCTCGTTAAGGTATATTTTTATGTAAATTTTCAAGTTGAAATTCGAAAATCAATTTTTTTTCAAGGTTCCTGAGGGGGAGTTCAGGCACGCACTAAAACCTATACCTTACAAATGAACTATGTTCGTAACAACAAGCTATCCGTCCAAAATATTTTCAGCGTATCCATAACTCCTTGGGAGCTACATAATGCAAATAGTTTCAACGCAAAAGCGATTGAACAGTTGGCGGCCTTCCCTCGTAAGCTGCATTTGATATGAAAATTTTTTAAATACTTCATAGATATAAGTTGAAAACGGTTATCTCAAGTAACTACCAATTAAATGATTCTTAAAATCCTGTCAGTAATAGATAAAAATCGTTTTTAATATTCATCACGAAAAATCAAGAACTCTTGGTTATTGTTAATTTTTTGAAAAAGAATTCAAAAATCCTCTTGGCTAGCTCTCCTGTAGTTCGAGACTACTGGAAATTGCTCCTATTTTTCTAATCCATCTATCCATGGAAAAATATTCAAACAGAGATCTCTGCTTCTAGGAGGTAGATGTTCCTTATCGGACAAGTATATCAACTGTTGTCGTTTATGTATTGCTATATATAGTTCTATTTGTTTTTTGTGTTTCTATTTCCTGATGATTACAATTGAAAATGGTCGACAGCTCGAAATAAAACAAAAATATTTTCAAAGAAATTTGAAATATGATCTGCGTCGCAGTGCGATACTCATTCATCGCTTATTTATTTCCATCTGCGCTTCTACACAATTATATGTAAATCAGCTGTTCCTTTTTAGACTCTAATTGTTCATACTATTTTCTGCATAAGCTACAAAACGTTTTTCCAAAATGTTATCTCAAAATATAATTCGTCTTTGAATCCTTTTTCTGAGTATATAAAGATACGAAGATTTAGTTGATTATTTCTAGACAGAATATACCGTTACTATGTCTGTTTATGACTTTGAAACGGAAAACCTATGATGCTGATGAGATAAAAAGAAGCAAATGAAAAAGGTTTAACTATTCAATTCTTCCGCAAACTGAAGGTCAACACTTGAATAATCAAACATTGTCTGCCTGACATTTCTGTCTTATCAGAATACGATCAATAAAACTCGTTATAACCATATAAACCCTCGTCGAAAAACGACTTTTATCTAATGATAGTAATTTCTACTCTCTGTCAATAGAGTTACAATTTAAACACTGTCTACCTTGAAAAAAAACTGAAAATGTTCATTTGAAGACAGGACTAAGTTAAGTGTTGACATAATACTTTTCTTCTGAAATAAAAGCACAACAGCTAAATGAACAAATACAAATGTAAAGATGCTTTTCAAGCAAAAATATTATTCATATTTAGTTGATAGCTTGAAGTTATACAATTATCCCAAGATAATGCCGTTCTATCAAAACCGGCAAGAACGTTTTTCCAACGGTAGTAAACCATAATGAGATTGCAGTAAATTCACGTTAGCCTGTCATCTTTATGTTACAGGAATTTTATGGAACTTGCTGAGATTTTGAAACATTTGGCTAGAAAATGCTCCTATGTGTTCCACAAAATATTATTTTTAGCAAGCTGCTTTTCTAATAATATGCTTCGAGTGCAATCAATGGAACATATATTTCATAGAAAAAGATATTTTCAAATATTTGAGCTTTTTCATAGGTTACACTAAGGCAATGAAATATCCTAAAGAGTTATTTAATATTCATTTTTGGTTAATGATATGTACGAAAGAGACAATTTGGAGACCGTTTTCTTTCTGATATAGAGAGTCGAAGCTATTTTAGTTTAATTGTATCAATTCATTCTAGTTTCGAAAGTATAAACACGTACAACAAAGTGATCTATTATTCAACAATAATAATAAATAATTCGAAGAGAACTATAGAAATACAAAAAGAAAATAAATCATTTATTCATTATTCTATCCTGTAATAAAGATCAGATATAAAGCCTTGGTAATTCTAAAAGACTCTTTAATAATAGATATAGTGGCAAGTAACAATGCCAAATTTCTGCTCCTATAAACATTCATGCTTTCTTATTCTAGTTAATTATCTGAGAATAATTTATATGAAAAATAATTTCAACCAATCAAAGCATAGTAGTACTTCTATTGGTAGCCGATTATAAGTTTTAAACAACATGTTTGAATAATCACAATTAATGAAGTCTCTTCATACGTTATTTTATTACGAGCATATTTCTCAAATAGCTGAAGATTGTTGACTATAGCGTAATCAATCTGTGCAGGTATGTATCTTTTTAATCGCTGGCTTATTTCATGATGTAATTTCCACTGAAACCATTATACTCGTCATAGTCGATGAACATCGGCGATATAATATTCGATGTAGATGATCACTAGTTTAGCGTTTCATCGAAATATTTCTTGTCGATAGAATCATTCGAACTTGACAATAGCAAACATCTATGTGTTTGATAACATAGGATCTGCAGGTTTGCATTTCGAGATAATAGCTTGAGATCGTAGAATAAAACATAAGTTCGATACTATTCGTAGGAGTTGTGATGCATTATGCAAACAAACACAATGTTAGTTCATCCTATCAAAAAATTCAGATCCAGCTAAACACATCGAAGGATTAGTCTTGTGTAGATCGCATACTTCAAAATCTTAAATGAGGTTCATTCAAGCCGCGTACGTATTTTGTCGCTTCAAAAAAAGTACCTCTATAAATAAATGAACATGTCCTCTTGTTTTCTTCGCATAAACTATGAGTATGCTGTTGTTTGGCGCACTTTAGAATAGGAGAAATATTAAATCTACGGAGAACGTTGGGCTCTCATATGATCTCTAGTTGACCTTGTTTTGGTGAATAACTCCTGAGAAAATTCATAGCTAAGTTGAAGATTTAAGCAGAGCTATTTTGCGTTACTTCCATGAGAGTATATAAGCTTGAATAGATTTATCGTGAGCTCTAGTTTCGAAAGGAAAAAGTATGCCTCTCATTTTGTTTTGTACTCTCATGTGGTAACTTGCAATTGTGAGAATTCCAATTCATTGTTACCTTCATGACATAAATCTCCATTGTCGTTTTTTGTTTTTCATGTAAAAAGTTGAAATAATTATTTATTCCAACTATTAATGGATATAAGAAGATTTTCTTTTTTTGTATTAATCAGTGATCAATTTGTTTTAAGGCGTTTCTTCAATTTAGCTGGAGAATTACATGATTGCGTTCTACGCTTGGCTATTGATTCTAGACTCTAATGAATGGCAAAGTCGATACATATCTATGTATACTTTCGTGATTAAGAAGCTTAACATCGTTAGTTGCATATATATGTGCGTGTTCGTTCAATTTTGTCAATTAAAAAGGAAAAGAAACGAAAAGCGAACGGACGCGATCGTATGTTTTGCTGAAAAAAAAGAAAAAGAAACAGCTTTTTTTTCTCCCTTCCGCTAAATTAGTTTCTCTCTCTCTCTTCTTTCGAAATCTACGTACATATTGTGGATCATTTTGTAGTTTTACTATTGATAATCAAGAGTTTGTCGTGGCAGCGAAGTAAATGAAGTGTGTTAGAAAAGAAATCACTTGTAAGTAGACGACAGCGATCGATAATCTTATTTTAGTCGTTTGTTGGAAAAAGAAAAATCTCAATATCCGGAGAAATACATCGCACCATATATAACAAACTCAGCTTATTTTCTTTTGCCCATCGTCACAAGTCAACTTACTGGTAACATTATCATAGATGAATAAAAACTAGAAACGTAAGTTTTGCTTTTAAAACAACACTGGAAATAAAAGCAAGCAGCATGAATGTATTCATCGCATGCCCTTAATTAGATATACTGAACTATTAAGGCACGTGGTTATGAATACTCTTGTGTTAGCTGATAAACTTCTACCGTTTAGTTTCGGACGGAACGAAAAATATTTAATACAAAAAGAAAAAAAAGAAACGAAGCAAAAACGTGAAATTTAATCTTGAATACAGTTGATAAATAATTGAAGAATGGTTGTAAAGCGTTTTATTTTATCGTCACTATCACTAGTCCAATTGATATAAGCAAATTCTTTTTGTAATTCATTGATCACACTTTCGAGTTTATCGTATTTATGTATATGTGATAAAATATAATTTAGTATGTATGGATAAGCAAGATAACCATGTCTCACTTGTTTTAGAAATATATCGATTTTTACACTTCGTTTCAATTGACTCATTTGTTCAATGAAACCTAATGGTCGGTCTGAACTATATTGATATAGTAAATGTTTAAATAAATAACGACGTTTTTCTTCATGCTCTTCATTTTCGTCGAACAGTCGATTTAATTGTTGCATTTCAGCTTGACCAATATTTTTATCATAATCACATAATTTACATTCACATTCCTGAATACGATATTCACGTAAACGAAGTGTTCGATCGATATAGGAAGTATAAACAGATGGTAAATAACATATGGTCAATTCTTCACCGGTTTCAATTGGCTTTAGAACACTGAGAAAACATAGATGATTGATAATAATAAAGTGACAGTTCGGTAAACATGAATGATTAAATCGAGCTAGTTTTGGCCATAAACCACTGCCGATAACATTTCGTTCGAAAAGTTCTACTAATAATTTATATGGAAGAAGTTGATAATCTTCATCGTCAGATTTTTTTCTTAAAGGTTGTTGACGTAGTGGTAATAAATGAGACATTCTCTCAACAAATTTTTTATGATCAATGAGTATACGTGTTTCTAAATGTCTTAACAGTTCGAGAACCGGTTGTCGAAGATATTTACCAGTACTTATTTCTTCGTCTTCTGTACATCGATGTTCAGGTTTTTGAGTTAAAGAAAAAGTAATGTAATGTGATGAACCATCAATAAGCGTTTCATTGGATTCCGAGTGCACGTATGCGAACGGTTGTTCGACCATCAGTAATGTGCCGGGTTTTAAAGGACATAAAGCAAACATACCATAGCCTTTTTCCTAGAAAAATATGAATTTATTATTAAAGTCGAGGAGTTTTTAACTAAGCATGCGAATCGATGCATGCGTGTAACAATTTTTTTCTAGTGGAAAAGTTGTTTCCTTCTATTTCTTGATCTTTCTCGTGATGAATAAAATAAAGTGTCTTACTAATTTTTCACATTGTCGAAATTCATAAACATTTTGCCTTTCAAATTCCGCGCAAAATTCATCGGATCTTTTTGTGCGTCCTGACATTAAATCAAACACATCATAATTTCCTTGCGATTCATTTTCTAAACGTGGTATATCGGAGTTAAGTATGCGCCGAAATCGATCAATAATTTCATTATATTGACATGCTACATCTTGTGTACATTCAACTAATGAATGAATAGACAATTTCGCTTGCTCATATTGTTGCAAACCAATTAATGCACGTAGTTTTCGATAATGTATTTTCCATGTGAATGTTATATCCATTCTATCTTCGATCGTACTATTATTACTGATGTCTAATATGTGTTCACAATCGGCTAGAGCTAGATGAGGCAATTGACTTTGTAAATAACATTCAGCACGATTACTTAATATACGAGTATCATTCGGGCTTTTAGCTAAACCAAGAGAATAATATTCTATAGCACCATTGATATCATTGTTATGAAAACATTTGTTACCTTAAAAAATAATAGACGATACAAAAAATAATTTTTACCAACGAAAAATCAATCCTAATCTGTTTGTTTGCATTAAAATATTCTATTTTGATCTGATATCTAGGTTAGATATTCTTACCTAGATCACGCAATTTACTCGCGTCCATTTGTTCAATCTCTTTCTCATAATCAGTAAACCATATTTCCAATCTTGGATTATCTACACGCAACATCAATAAATCATCGGCAGCTATTTTAATAAATGGATTTCCAACAATAAAATGTCTCCCACGTTTTATTCGATTTCGTATATGTTCCATAGATTGATCAGCTAATATTGTATACCAATTATATATTGCCATTCGTACATGATTTCCGTTTTCATCTTCAACTATAGTTTGAATAGATCTTGGCGTTATGAATGGATCAACAATAGAATGTAAAAAAATCATTGAATCTTTGTGTACACGATTTATTCTGGTTTCTTTTAAACAAATACGTGTCATAGACATAAGACGATTGTTAATTTGTTGTTTAGAAAGAAATGATAATGGGCGATATTTTAATTGTACATCAAATGCATAAGGAATGACATTATAATCCTCGAGCGTGAGTGCTTTTATATAGCGTTCAAAAGATGAAATTAACTCTTTTTTTGAAGATATTTCAGGAAATGCTCGAGAATTGCACTCAGCACCATAGATTCCTGTCGGTGCTGCAAGTAAACGATCAACGATATGAAATGGTGAATTATTTTTCTCATCGGACGACGATGAGCGTTGTGAAATAGCTGTCAAACGTCGAGCAGTCCGAGCTGCTTTTTTATTATTTTGACATTGCCGAGCAAAATAGAACGCTAGATTTGTCATATCAATATTTGGTAACAATTGTGATAAATCAGCAAATTTTAATAATTGCCGATGGTGCTCGTCGCAACATATTTGTGCTGGTATTTCACAATTGGAAGCTTCACTGTGTTTCAGTCTATGGAATAATAATTATTCGTAAAAGAAAATAACTTTCAAGAAAAATTTAATTTTTATTAAACATTCAAATACAAAAATATTCTTTTTGATATTTTCATAAATTTTATTCTATAAACGCTATAAAACACTTTATTGACATACATACCTGTGAAACATTATTTTGTGCCGCCAGTAATAAAAGAACGTGCCGTTTTTTCCCACTAATTATTTATTCTAGAATGAAACAGTACACATCCTATCTTCTACAGTATCTATGGTAACTAGAATAGACCAATGTCAAAAGAAACCAAGTCGGAACACAATATAGTAATATCTCGTGAATTTGTCACAGAAAATGGCAAGTAAAAGAACGAAAAAAAAGAACATAGCCAATTGGCTGTACGACACATCGATTCATACACCACACGAAACGGATAGATGTCCCCTACAAAATTCAATGAAAAAACCACCGATCTTGGTTTCCTTTTTAGTGTACTTAAATTTCACTCTTCTTGCAATAAATGCTAATGTGTTGATATTAGTTTTATATTGTATGTTGTTCATTTTTCTTGTTTCACGATCAATCGTTCGACTGTTATTTATATTTTAAAAAGAAAATTACAAATGCATAAAGCTTTTAAAACTATCAATAAATAAAGATGTCACTAAATATGATGGAAAGTATTTTCTTTCGAAACCTGTGTCATTCAGCTAGTTTTAACGTGTATAGATGCATCTAGAACATTGCAGAATCGTCTATAGATGCATCTAGAACATTGCAGAATCGTCTATAGCCTGCAGACGGTTCTATTGACTTTGGCTAGAGAAATGACTGCTTTTATGAATCAGAGAGAGAGAGAGAGAAAGAAAGAAGAAAACAGAGAGCAGTTTTTAAATGATTTACTCTGCATGGTGGTTGACGCAATACTTCTCTGGAAAATTGGTAATACAACTATTCTATATATATATATATATACAGGTATGAGTAATATCAATTTGTTTCTTAGATTTGAGCTTGAATATACAAATGTAAAAATATATATTATTTTCCTTTATGATTAATTGTGTATCAGTTGACAACACGTTGATGAAAAAGTAAATTTCCTGATTAGTACTATAGGCGTATACCTCCAACAACAAATGGAAATATCGCCTTTTCTTTGTTTTGATTGATACATTTAACATTCAGACAAGGAACAATAATCAATATAGAAGTCGTTTTTGTTCATATGAAAGACTGAAATCGATTTTAATCTTCTCATGTATATGTTGTAGGCAAAATTGGAATTATTCCAATTTTACCTACAACATATCCGTGCCGAATGCATGTTTCATGAATTAATGAATTGAGCATCATCAAACGTGTGACTATAACTAAATAGAGATTTTGAGTAATTTATATTTATGCAGTAACAAAACAAAATATTTTCCCCTGTATTTATATGCATCGAAGTCTGTCATGAAGCATAGTATCATGACTCAGTTTCTATTCCGGAGAACGCTCTTGACTGAATGAGTCATGCGAGAATCATCTGTTGTTTGCGTCCTTATCGAAATCTAATCATTTTCTCAGCAGATGTATTGGTAAATTTTTTGTGGAAATTGAATCAGTGGAATTCATGTAATCAACTGAGCAGAAAATTGCTGAAGCATCTCAAGTTAATAATGAGAGAATTATTACATCTGCAATTCATTGTCTGAACTCGTATGAGAGATGCCGAGAGGTCTTGGTATAACTAGAAAAATACGAGAAGTGCTCCTTTCCATGGATCGTTGGTCTCGAATTATGACAATGTTAATGAATTTGAAAAATTAAATAGCATTAGTTTAACTTTTATTAGATATTATGATTTGTAGAGAAGACTGACAATTTCAGCATAAAAAATATGATTCTTTTGCCATTGTACAATTTCCATTAAACAGTTGTTTGACACGTCATGCATGTCAACGAACGAATATTCATTTTCACTGAAACTTTGACGCTGCCCAACGATTCATTGAACCTATTATCTATCAACTAGTGAGCTGATCGGAATGTTACTGTTGAGTACATATTTGAAAGTTTGTAGGTCAAATGAGCGGCGACATCTATTCGCAAACGCAATTTGTTTTTATTCTATAACTTCCCTTGTTTCTCTGTGCAGGCTTACTATTTAAAATCTATTTGGAATGTTTGTAGATCGAAGGTTATTTTAGTGAACGGTTTATTTTATTAGAAGCGTGTATATTGATGTTTCATGTATATATTGTAGTGATTTGAAACAATCATATAACACTTCGTCATGTCAAAAGAAAAAATACAATTGATTGTTAGGGAGAAGACGATAAAAGACTGTATACTTTCTCAAATATTGTATCATACGTATCTTTTTTTGAAAGGGACGAATGAGTTGTTATCAATAAATGTCAGTTTTTCCATTGGATGAGTTACATGTTATGTTTATTTTGCTTTTTTCATTTTCACATGCATCAGAGTATGCTCTTCAAGATTAATCAAGCGTCACAAACGAAAAATCCTATAAAATTATTGATATTTCCATTGTTTCATAAATATTTCCATAAAACAATTTTAACTTTCAATTAAGATATCTTTTAATATATATATCAAAAAATTTCACGAAAGAAATGAATTTCAAGCACGGTTCTCAAAATAAAAGAGAGAAATCAAAAACATCTGACTGGTTGTTTCTCATTGATAGTCAGTAATATCTTTTATCGTAATTAAGGATGCACCAATATCTGGATCGTGGTTTCAAAGATAACTTTTTCCAATATTAAGAACTCATTGTTCTATCTATTTTTCATGATAGTTCTGGTGAGCTTTGGTTGCTCTATCCGAAGCTATGATTAGATTTCATCAATTCTAAAAACTGAGGTTCAACACTAAAATCAACCGATTTCATAACCCAGTTTAAATTTTCAAAGAAATCAAAACATAGCATCGCATAAAGCATTCAAAAATCGATGATGATTAATAACAAACATTTCATTCTCAATACAAGAGATATGCTAATTTTATATTACAATTCAAGGCTTGGGTTAGAACTAAAAAAATCCAAGTCCCGCGGCAACATATCTCCAATATTCAGAACTTCCATGTTCGTATTAACTGCAACTACTTTTAAATCCTGTATTCGATGCTATGTTTAGATTTCTTTGAAAATTTAAACTGGGTTATGAAATCGGTTGATTTTAGTGTTGAATCTCAGCTTTTAGAATTGATGAAATCTAATCATAGCTTCGGATAGAGCAACCAAAGCTCAGCAGAACTATCATGAAAAATAGATAGAACAATGAGTTCTCAATATTGGAAAAAGTTATCTTTGAAACCACGATCCAGATATTGGTGCATCCTTAACTAAAATATTTAGGAAACAATGAAATTATCATTATTTTATATACTTTTCGTTTGTGACTCTTTTGATTATACGAAAATGAACTTGGCATGATTAATTATGCACTTGGTTAGTTGAATTGCCGTAATGAGATAGATAAAATGAAGTCGAGAAGAAAAGGGAAAAATAGCAATATTGACGTTAAGTGTATATACGGACGAAGGCCTTTACTGCTGCTCGGCAAATAGGACAAGTTTTCAAGCTATGTCCACATGCTACGCAACTGGTTAAATGACCACAGGGCAAGCATGCAACTTGTCGTTCGGTGCTAAGACAAAGAAGACAAAGAGTTGGTTCTTCTGAAAAGAAAAAGAAAAAAATTAATTAAGAGAATCTCTCGAGTAATATGTATATATATATACCTGTTTTAGTCATCAATCGTGCTCGTGGCGCAATGGTTGCAATCACTTGTGAAGATTCGAGTTCTATAAAGATAGAAATAAAATGAAAACATAAAAGAGAACTTCAAAATAGAGCACTTACTTGGCACTATGGTGATTTGTTTTGTAGCGGCTGGTCTTGGTTCACTGTTGGGCCTGTGAGCTTCTATGTAAGTGTTCATCCAATTTTGCGGAACAAGTATGTTTGCTTCATTTCCATTGATTAACTTAACCTGTTTGTCCAAAATGAGACAGGCAATACGAAGGTCAACATCACTTTTAAAATCGTCTTCTAATAAATTAGTAAACAAAATAGAGATTAACATTTTTCTTGTCTTTGTTTGCAACTATTAGTTTACTTTTGAATCGTAACTGCATTTCATACACTTTTCTAAAAGAATAGAAACCGTAATGAATTCGTTTTTATTACAATATGTAAACTTACCGAATAATAGCCATGCTGTAGTTTTCTTGTCGGAGTTTCTCTACAACTGGTAAGTCAAGACGAGCTTTAACCATTCGATCGATTTCATCATTTGTCCATGGTGTACACAGGGAATTCTCGCCACTGTTGCTCTCTTGTAGATTCTGTTGCGCTAAAAATGAAAAACAGAAAGTAATAGTTGTGTATTCATTTTCTTTTGTGTACTCGCCTCGTAGTTCACGATTTTTCCGCTGTATAGCCTGATACAGGTTTTCACCTATAAACTGTCGAATATAAGCACACTGTGGAAACCAGCGGGCATGCTCAATTTTCGGATCGTCTGATGCTTGCCAATTTCTTAAGGCTCCGTTGCAATAAAAGCATCGGACAACAGTATTTTCTCCTGAAGACAAAAACAGATATTAATTATTGATATTCGTTTATTTAGGTAAATCTAACCAGTATAAAAAAATCCTGCGTCGACGAAGGACTCTACTGATGGTAGCGATGTTTTTTCAGCTTCTGGCCAATTATGGAAGGTTTGATGCCTACGAAATAGGACTGCATAATCAGCGTGCACGGCTCCGACCACCGTCTGGGCGTTAGGTACATCGTTGGCTGTTACGATAGGTAAGGGTAATTGCTGTTGTGTATTTGTTGCTCTCTGTTCGTTGGTACGAACAAAAAAACAGTTAGGCGATTTAAGTCTGTGAATTTCATAAGGTCTATCACTTTCATTCCAATTGTGGAACATAACATCACAATGAATGCATATCACTCGATCTGCTATATTAGTATACCACCAGCCTGCATAAGTCATTTCTTGAGCGCTTGGTGTTATAGATGGCCAGTTTGATAACGTGTACGTGCGAGCTTTATCCAAAATTTCAGTGGACAGAGAGAAAATGAATCGATTTTCAATAGATCTATTGTTCGTATCGCCGCCGCCATGATCCATGAAACCTCGGTAGTCGGAGTTCTTGACATGATTTTGGTTAATTGCTGACTTGATAAATGAAACTGGCTGATCTTAATATACATATAAAACATAATTACCTAATCCTGTTCTTCGTCAGAACGAAGTGTCTACCAATCTGAGTAGGATTATTTGGTCAGTCGTGATCAGCTAGTAACTTGTGTCAATGATTTTCTAGATGATCAAGACAATTTTAGTTTTAACCCATAGAATGACTCAAAAGTCAGAAGACTAGAAACTATTGTTAAATTTGACAATATCTAGTCTTCGACTTGTTTTCATTCTGAGAAACAAACGATTATTCATGTAATACGTTAACAACTTATGTATGTGAATATGCTGGAATTCAGTGTTAAAGTTATTAATATAGTAAAACCTGTTCTGTTTTATCGATAACAATTGAAGTTCGTTTCAATTGAATAATAAAATCGAGGAACTTCGCTGTGTTAGATGTATACTCTCTACAGGATATTTCAAGATTTATGATCATCTTACGAAAACTTCTAAAATACGTTTCTAATCGAATTTAATGTAACACATGATGCTGCTCTATTTACGATTAGCTTAAACAATACTCAACAATATGAAAGAATTTTGACTATCAAAGTGAAACTTCTTGCTCAATGCACATAGCTTTCTTAAACAAAAACTTCACATGCTATGGACAAGTCTTGAAAACTGCGTATGTAAAAACGCTGTGTGTTAAAATATAACTACTACGTTTAACTATTCTAGTAACGTTGTGAGATTCTCGAACAAGAAAGTCATGCACTAAGAGCAAATCTTTAAGTGTATGGAAGAAAAGTTTACCGATGATACAATGAAGAACGTCAGACCCATACTTCTATATCCCGACGCAAGCTTAGCTTTTGAGTTTGTGCTCTAGTGTTTCTTGAGTGACATGAATAATTATGAGAGGATCATAAAGTTAGGGTATTGCTTAGTTTCATTGATAGAGGTGTAAGCCGTCAGCTGATTTTTTCTGAAGCCGACGGCTTACACCTCTATTCATTGACCCTTTCTTAGGATTGTTCTGGAATTTTTCGTTTGTTCGGTCATATGTAGAAATTAGTTTGCATAATCAGACTATACTAAAGCGTGAGTTTGAATTTTCCAGTTGTGTACTAATATAAATATTTGAGTAAATCTTTCGAATGACTAGTATACTTTGTCATAGAACGATAACGCAAATAGTGTCTTGAATCACAAGAGAACGCTTTCGTTTTAAGAACACTGAAATGATCGTAAATGTCAGTAAATCGAATCATTTTACACGACAGCGTGTCATTACATTTAGTGACCATGTTTTCTTCTCGTAAGAATACATAACTACAAGATAAGATGTTCAATAGCGTAAACGTAGGAAGATGTGAGTGATCAAAAGTGCATAGTTGAAGAAATCTTCAAATCAATTTTTTCCTGGTGTAACTTAAACTGCTTCTTTGTCTATACGTATCAAATTGGAAAAAATATATTCCATTACATTTGATCAGTAGTAGAATTAGAGACTGTTCTAGCATGATCATAAATTTGGAGATATCCTGGAGGTTCGTGTCAAAACTCAAAAACAATAATATACCATTCTTTGAAAATAATTCTTGTTGATCAAGAACGAATGGGCATTCAGGTTTTTGCATCATATGCTCTTGCTTTGGATCCATGCCTGGTTTCCAATTTTCGATTTCCAGCCCGCAAGCTTCACAGCGCACCTTGTCACCTTTACCAGTATATGCAAATCCGACCTTCGTGAGTACCGCTGGTGAAACGATGCATTGTGTATTATTTTTCCACGTTCGAAAAGTTGCTAAGCGGTAGAGGTCAGGCTTCAAACGTCGCGACAGTCGTGCCGACGTACGACTGATCGAGTTTGATGAAACGCTATGTTTTGTTGATTGAATGCTTGTTGCCATTTATATTCTTTGTGAAAGGTGAATAGATTTGCAAATCACTTTTTTTGATACGTCTAATAAAGAAAAAACAAGTAGATTGATATCAACATGCATGCATAAATGACAGGTAGTATCTATTAAATTGTTATATACTCAGTATGAACTGTGAATACGTCAGATAGATGAGATTTTTCTGAATTTCTAGTTGAGTTTCAAATTTAAATACGTGGATACTCATCATATATTATTTTTGTTTAGATATTTAAATTCAAATAAATATATACGCAAAAACAACACGTTTCTATTCTACTGCGCACTAGCGACTAGCCAATGAATAGAAAGCGCGACATTATTAGGCTATCATTCTGTTATACGAAGAAAAACAACTACTTTTTTTTGGTGCTCAAACTTAATGAAATTTGTGCTTTACCAAGAAGTTTAATTGCGTCGTTATCTTACTATATTAGGCAATACTAGAAAGTTTGAAAAAAAAGCAATGAATCGTAATTACAAATTTGATTGGTTGTATATTCTGCGAGATCGTTCAATCAGATCGCGGAAGTTCTAGAAAAAAATTTAGTTATAAAATAAAATGTCGCGTTTTTCTCTTTTTTTCACGGTGTTAAATGGGAAACATTCGAGCTGAATCATATGCACTGTGACAATTCAAAAAGGTTAATAATCTGTCACGTCATTGTTACTGTTGGCTCCATTGATGATTCATTTTAATGTACTATATTTTTACACATTGCAATTTGCAACATTCTCTCAGTTATAAGGAGCTTGCATATGTCTCAAATAAAGATAAACCTAGCGAAAAGTTGAACTACATTAAATTCATCATTAAAACAAAATGTATCCTTCATTAAGAAAATATGAGAGAAAAATAATTGAGCTTTTATATAAATGTAGATTTCATGTAAACAGCAAAATATTTACTAATATTTTCACTCGACAAAGATTACATTTTTCTAAAGAAACTATAGTAGTATATGAAAACAAGGATATCTTTAGCTTGGCGGAAAACGTCGAAACAAAAACTATCAGAAATAAAATTGAGTGTCAGTAGATGTTATTGTCAATAGATATGACTCATTTGTTTTAGTATAAACCGTGTAACAAAATGAGAGTAACAATCAGATGTGTATTGATAGAACATTAAAAAAATCAACTAATAGCCCAATTTCGTCAAATGGAAACATGTTTCCTTTCATGGTCATAGCGTTTTCTACTATTTGTCCGTAAATGATTAATAAACACAATTTCGATTAATTCTGATATAAAACCGACTAAAAAGCGACCCACGATCGATTGGGAGTATCTGATGTACCTTCTATATTAACCACGTTTCGTTATATGACTAAATTATCTTTGTTTTCTTCTTCGAACTTGCCAATCAACATACTACACAATCTTTTGCAACAAAAACGATGAACAACTCTATTGAATATTCGAACAGAAATGTTCAATACGACACCCTCAAAGAATACGATGGAAGATCTAATCTCACTAAATCTTTCTACAACGTTCTATCAATAGTAAAAAGATATGATTTCATAAACTGTGCTAGTACTTTATCTAGAATACTTTCGTATTCAACTAAGTTCAAAACTGATCCACTAGTGCATCTCCTCCCATCTATCTGATAATATATCATAATTTACAGTCAGTGACTGGTAAGATCGTTGCAATTTCTACGCAAGACAACAATCGAAGTGGAATTTTGGAATAAAAGTTCAATTGGGCATCAACATTTACGTCGGATGTACTGTATTTCGGCGAAACATACTTAGTAAAAGAACGGCCTGAGTGAGCTGCAAAAAAATAAGGTTGCTTTACAGCGGGGTGTACAGGTATGTATTTTCGAGCTTCAATTATTCCACTCACGTTTTGTTGCCGAAATTTTATTTCGGGCATAACTTTTCGTAGAAGCAGGCTTAGTCCAACTAGAGATTAACTCAAAATATTCGACGTTTTCATCCACAGCAAGATATTAGAGTACATAAGGGCACATGTACTTAAAAGAGAAAGTCTCACAGGAGTTCACTTATACCTAGCAGAGGATGTAGAAAAACACAAATTTTCCTCGCCTAGTTATTTACAAAAATTTAGAACGCCTACTACACTTCTATCTGATCAGACAACGTTTTTCACTATACTAGAATAAATACTTGCCTGAAGAAAGGATGATATCTATAGCGCATACATATTTATTTATAGTAACAGTCTTGCAATTTTTCCCACTGTAATTCGGTATTCTTTTTTTTGGTCAATTGTGATTCATGTTAATTTGTCGAGCGCCTACATGGGGCCTGCAGATGTTTCGACAGAAGCAGGAGGCGACCCTGGGCTGCCAGTAGCCAACCGTCTGGGTTTTAGGCTAGCAACCTGTCAATTGGACTTTAAACATAAACTGCTAACGAAAAGACACTAAACAAGTGCGTGAACGTTGTCTCACCCTACACCGAAAGGTATTTGGGTATTCTTTCTTTCTTCTTTCTAATTTGTCGAATAGACGAGAGCGCACTACCCAGCATGGGAGAAATCTCTATCTATATTTTCACTATCTAATTGGGTAAATATAAACTAATACCTAAAAATATAGCAATCCATATCTAATTTTAAAATAAATTTATATCGAATTTATTAAACAACTCTACCTAACAACACAAAGTTATATCTAATTAACAATTAAAGTGGTGTGTTTGGGGGGGGGGGGGGGGGGGGGAAATGGAAAAANCCCCCCCCCCCCCCCCCCCCCCCCCCCCCCCCCCCCCCCCCCACAAAAACACCCCCCCCCCCCCCCCCCCTACATTTCTCTTTTTGCCCCCTGTTCCTCTTCTGTTGAACGGGTGGATAATCAAAATGCCACAAATTCATATTTTTTAACAAAAGTGAATTTGCCGAAAATTCGAATTCCCCATCATATGTCAAATTAATTAGATAAGTCGATCAATTGATTGATATTGATAGTCATTTGTTAAAATTGATAATATGTTAAATTAAAAGACCGAACATTTTTTTATTCAGACATGTAATTGATTTAAAAGATGTTCTACTACAAAATTAGATCAAACAACTTTTTAAAAGGTGTTGTTTCACCGGAATTGATACTACTGTATTAATTTAGATATGGATTGCTACATTTTTAGATATTCCATTAAATTCATGCCTATCTAATTCACCTGCTAGTTCAAATAGCCATAGTGAGATACCTACGGAGTGTTTTGGTTTCCTAATTCTTACGTAAGTACGTAGTGATGCGTGCTTTTTCCCAAACACTGCTTTCACCACGCTGTACACATTCTAAAAGTAATCATCGCAGAAGTATAATCGACAACTATTACGAATCAATGCTGGATACATACCTCTGGCTGGTTGTACATCTCAGATGGGAAAATAAGACGACCGTAAATCGCAGTATACGATCGTAATATAAGTTGTATACCACTGTACACGACTAAAATACGTTCACAATACGGCTGTCGTGCTGGGTCGTATTTTTATCGTATACGGCCGTAATTCTGGCGTCAAGTACACGACAATGTACGATGATCGTAACGCTCAACCTGGGATAGTACGATTCAATATTCCCATTTCGAGCTTACTGTATACTGACCTATAATAGATTCTCATTTATCACTAGATATTGATGACGGACGCTATTTGTCTCTTTTTGTGTACTCAAAAAAAGTGAGTACACTCTAGATACGGTCAGTGTGACCGACCGGCCGTTAACACGATAACCTTTGAAAGCCTCATCCAATTGTCATGAAATTTTGTACACAGAATGATTTCATCAATATCTCAGTCGAGTTCGAAGATGAGAAGGATCCGCCAAAAAATGACTGAGCTATCGAAAAAATTGTCATTATTAGCCAAACCATCCCTGAGAAGGGTG